CCCATTTCAACGGGACAGAAGCTGTGCTCAGGTTCTGAAACCCACAGAATCAGAAGTATAAAGAAGGAAACAGTGGCTTTGAAGGATTTACAAGCAAAACTTTAGTTTCAGATACAATCTACTTTAGTTTGATCTTATCAATCAATACTGAAATGGTTTAAGTAAGACAACCTAGAATTAAAACAACTTTCTATAAAATATATGAGAAACAAAAGTACTGCTATAACAGACCTGAAAGTCATGTTATCTTGTAAGAACACATCAGAGGCTATCTGATGATGTGTCCAGGAAGGTGTATCCAACAAAGCAGCACCTCTGTACTTGTGTCTTCCGGCCTGTGAGTGACTGTCTGGCAGTCTCTCACCTAGCACAGTTGCTTGCCTCCAAGACAGGTCAAAAGTGGACACTAGGGAGCAGAAAAGGAAGGGAGGAAGCACACCCTGATTCTTCCCCTCTATCACTCTCCAGACTGGACAGACCCTAGAACTAGACCTGGAACTAAAGTTCTAGTCCTGTGACTTCTTGCGCTTGCATTTAACTCCAAAACAATGACCTAATGTGAGAGTAAGTACAATGTATCTGGTAGCTTATGGCACGAGAAGCAGCTCTGAAGAAAAGCTACAACAACTGGGCAAATGAAGAGCTTTCACATGCTAGCTAACTCCTAAGTATTAATCAGTAGGAGGAAAACTGTAATTTTGGGAGAAACCTACCATCTTCATAGTGCTTCTTCCTAGTCATGTTTTTGTCAAGAGACCCATCCAAGAAACCTCTTCCAATCTCTGACCAAATCTGGAAAAAAGACAGAGAGAACAGTACCATCACTTACCACAGGCTGAGACTGCTGGGACTATTCTAGTCTTCCCTAGTCAGGAAAATTAAAACATCAAATAAAACTAAGTCTTCCTGTCAGTATGGAACTGGTCTTTTCTTTAGGATACCACATCACATTTCAGACACTACGTCTATGATAGCTGGATTTAAGCTGAAATTAAACAACTGCAATTACAACTGTAGGGAAAAGCTATGGGAATCTTAAATTGGAGAAGGAACTGTTTCTTTCCCACCCTATCAAAAACATATTCAACATCCCCACATGTGGATACAGGTGAGATCTCTTCAGAGTTTCCTTTCTCCACTATGTCAGAGAGCCTTGAGAAGATCTTTGAAAGGGAGAAGTTCCACTGGCAGTCCCAACAAAGTTTAACTGACTTAGGTCCCAAAGACCTCCCAGCTGTCATTGGATCTGGGTTCCTGATCCCCATGGATCCTTTAGAAACACCTCAGACTAATGACAGCAGGATCAGCAGGAGGATCTTTCTAACTGTTTCAGCTTGGGACAAGTGAGGCAGAGTCCTCAAGTTTGTACTTTAAAGTCGCAGCAGTAGCTTGTACTAAACTGTACAGATACAAGCTCTGTGTTTTTAGTTTGGAAAAATTTAATAGGAGCTTTTATGTCTCTTTAGGACACTTACTGCATCATGGTGCCTGCGGAATCGGATGACTTCCCGGTCATCTTCAAAGCTGCTGCCCATAGCTGTCTGTGTGACAGACTTCATGGCAAAGCCCAGCATGTGCTGGCAGAGTGGCACATGTTGTGCCTCAGGGAGAGACAGCCATTTGGCCAGCAGCTCTTCTGACAGCTTGAGAGGGAATGAACCATTAGTTAGCAGTAACACCAGCAGTCTATTTACCAAACACACCCTGGACAATTTCCCACCCACTTCCTAAGGCAGACCACACTTTCATGGCTATGGAATAACACTAAACTCTTTCCAGGTTTCTTTCCATGTTTAAACAGGAACATTTTAGCCTCCAATCTTCTACTTCTTTCAAGGCTTTCCCCCAACAAGGCAACCCTACCCTCCTCTCTTGTTAGCTCTGCCACTATAGGAAAACAGATCATATTCTGACTGCTGGACTAAATCAGCATCATTTCCTTGTGGCCCCAAAAGCTGGTTCCTTGCTCGATCCTTGTGTCCTGAGAAATATATCTAGAATCCAGATGCTCCAGTATCTTTAACTGCATCTGGTTCTTGGCATAAAAATTCAGCAAGCTCAGCCCTTCTCTCAACCACTGGAGCTAAGAGAACACAGATATTCACACCATGAAAGGCAGAGGCTGTTTGCTATCCCAGATGCTTATAGCTCCAGCACTAATTTGAATGCAAGTCCTTTAGTGATGATTCTCACTAAAACTTCCCCTGTGAAGCACACAGGGATTCTCTGCTGTACAAAGGCAGTTACCTTCTGGATGAGAGCAAAG